CTGCGAACTCCTCATCCATCTTGGTATTATCAGGTATAGCGCACAGTGCCTGGCACTCAGCAGGTACTTCAGAAAAGTTTGACAATAAATGAACACAGAGAAAAATTATAAAATGCCGGGAAAGAAATTATCCGTATAGATCAATATAGTTTCAGAAGCCAAGAGAGCTCCGGGCTAGAACAACCTTAAAGTTCAAGTGGAATTTGTAGGGAAAGGAAAGGTATTCTAGGCAGACAGGACAGCGCCAACAAAGACCTGAGAGTAATCAAAAGTTTTAGATATAATTTAATCTAACAGTTCATTTTTCATGGGGATGTTATAAACATTCAATCAAAAAGTATGTACTGCCCTGGCCGGTGTGGCTCAGTTGGTTGAGCATCATCCAGCAAAGCAAAAGGTCACTGGTTTGATTCCCAGTAAGGTACATGCCTGGGGTGCAGACTCGGTCCCCAGTTGTGGCACATGTGAAAGGCAACTGACTCATGTTTCACTCATATACCAGTGTTTCTTTCCCTCTCTTCCCCATTCTCTCTTTAAAAAAAAAGTATGAACTACTGAGCAGAGGAACTAGCACACCATAAACATTTGCTAAATGGTAGCTATTATTACTACTACTCAAAAATAATAATTATCAAACACTTATTAGATGTCAGATGTATACATGTATATCAGGCACCATGCTGAGTGAAGAGAGTAAAACAATGAACAAAATAGACTTGGACTCAGCTTTCTTAGGTAGTTAACAGTCTAGTGGGTGAGACAGACAGTTAAAATAATGGTTGCCAGGGCAGGGCTAGGGGAAGTAAAAGGGATCTGAAAGAATATAAAGTCACCCAATCAGCAGGCAGTAAGAGACAGCTCCTTGAAAGGCATTCTGAGTCCCTTCAAGGACTGTAGGTTTCAACATGAGATTTTGTTTGAATAAAGGGTTTCATGACTAAATAAAGGTTTAAAAAGCACCCATCTAGTCCAACTTCCTCTTTTAGCAAGAATAAAACAGAGCCCAGGAGAGGTAAATTATGCACTTGAAGCAATAATACTTCAAGTTAGTTGTAGGCTAGAATACTTGCTTTGAGCTTGAGCTGGAAACTACTCACTGATCTGCATGATATCACATCATTTTGGCAGATGAACAAGCACTGAGAGTGGACACATCCAGAATTTGCAAGCACTGGGTAGGCAGACAGGTTGGCCCTGACTGGATGTTTAAATGCTTTTCTACCTTAGGTTCCAACCCAGCTCTCTCTGTGTCAAAATGATGCCTCCAATTTCTCTCAGGAGCTGGCTAGCTACCCCTTCTGGGAGGAACTCATTGTGTCCAAGAGCAGATCTGAATCTGCTCTGGGCCTCTTAGCTGGTACCTCTTAGCCTATAACCCAGGCTATAGTTCAAGCACCCTGTGGTTGGTAAGTTGAGAGAAAGAACTGAGGTTGGCCAGTCATCGTAGCCTTTTTAATACCCAGCCTAAGCTGACTAGACCTATTTTTCATCTTCCTAACTACCTCTGGGCTAATCGCTCCTCGTGACCAAGGGTTCAACAAAATCAAATTATCAGTAAATTGAAGGATCTGTACAGAAAAAACAATGTTCCTTTTGTTAGCCTCCACTTTGAACCTGTGAGGAATGAAATGTTGCTGCATGTTTTGGAGATGGAACTTTTGTACATAAAGAAAGGGGTAGTTTACTTTAGTAAGATGAGTCTGCAGTTTAGGTCTTTAACCTGAGGGGAAACAAACACTTTGGAATGTATAAAAATGGGTTTAAATTTTAGTGATACCACTTAGTAGTTGCAAGGCTGTTGGCATGTCTCAAATATTCTGAATCTAACTGCCTTGACCATAAATAGAGCTTACTAATTAATAACTCACTTCATAAATTAGACTAAAAATGCCCTTTCAAATCAGTCAGTTACTAAATGTACTATATCAATTTTCACATATAATTGAAACCATAGTTTTAAATTACCTACCTCTAGAGCACAATAATAGAGAAAAAAAAAATGGAATCCAGGTGCTCAGTGCCTCATGGGCTAAGTTCAGTATAGCACTGGCAGACCTGGGTTGCAATCTGTACTTCCCCACTCACAAACTGTGGAATTCTAGGAAAGTTACTTAACCGCTCCAGCCTCAGACCCCTCACTTATAAAATGTGGTTTATATCATCTAACTGACAGAGCTACTGTTAGTAATAAATAAAATAACCAAGGGAAAAGGCTTTAAACAGGGGCTGGTTTACAGTAAGGATAAACAAGAGCCCTTTTTATTGGTAGCTCTTTTCCTAAGCCATCTTTTCTATCCACCTCTTTAAAACAGGAAAATCAGTTAGCAAAGCCTAAATTACCTCAACTATTAGAGAATAATGAAAAACACAAAAGAAGAAGAAAGTACAGTGGATGAACTGATAGCCACCATTCTAGCCTACTTATCACACTAATGGCATCTGATATTGAAAAATATAGGTACAACATTCTGAAGGACAAACCATAGCATGCACAATCTTTCCAAAGGAGTGACAAAGAATATCAAAGTATTTTTGCTAGGCTATCCAATTACTCTTTTATAATCTGGGCTCCACAGTCCAGTCCCTACCAAGCAGAAAGTGCTACAGGAAGGCTATTCTGATGCCACAAGCAAATCCTTGCTTCTTTGTAAACCCACCTCTATCATACAGACTTCACTAACTTCCCCTAGCCAACGGAAGTGCTTGTCTCTTGTGCCTCACTGAATTTGCTACACTCTTCCACTATGAATAACAATTATCTCATATTGTAAAGGACTATTTGCATGTCTCTTCACTATTCTGTAAGTTGTAAAGATCCTGTCTTACTCATCTTTGATTTCCTAGTACATAACACATGGATCCTCATAATTACAAATTAAAAGATGGGTTTCACATTCTTTCATGAGTTAAGGATGCTAAGAACAGCTGGGAAGACATTAGCAGAAACTTAAAAACTATGGTCTGACAGGCCAGACCCTTGTTTTGAGGGGGGAGTTTGTTTGGAGCTTGAAGGGATGACTGACTCTTCCTGCTTCTCAGAGTTACTTTCTTAAAAACACAGAGGACAGAACCAGTCTACACAAAATTTCTAGACAACAAATTATATTCTTTCTCAGTAACAATTAACAGAAGTTTGTGAGATGAACGCTTGTGGTTACATGTAAGGTTGACCCCTAGGCATGGCACTACTAGATGCTCTTAAGTTCTAAAAACAATTAGGGAAGAAAACCTAAGAGGAAAAATCAAAAGTGTCTTCATCATAAACCTGATATATGTACCTAAAATCAGGCTCCCTCAAAGGAGATCACAAGACTAACAAACCATATACAATAACTTCAACACAGTATATATGCCTTTTTCAAGGCACTTTCAAATATATCTCTGAACTGCAGCCAACTGTAATCACAGAAACTTAAGGGCCTTGGAAGTCATTTTCACAACCACCTCACCAACCAAGTGGTATTCAAACACCTCTAGTCTCTAGTAATTGGGAGGTATGGTACTAAAAACTTCTTTAAAAACCAGCCCCTGCTCTCATCACCCGACAGTTTCTCAGTCTCCTTCGCCCACCTTCATGATCACAATCAAGTAAACCAAATCCTCCAAGTCATCCTACCACCAAACAAGCTTTTTAAGTCCACTTCTAATCTCTTTCTCTGGGCCTCATCTTCAATTCTCCCCACCCACCCTACCACCCACAACAAGGCCGGGGCATCTTAAGATTCTGATCCTGCAGACATTCCACAGGTTCCATTTCTGATCATCATTTTCCTTCCTCCTGTTCCTCAGTGCTGTCCACATGTTGTCATATGTAAGATCACAAGCACTCCTATGCATCTTTTGGCTCAGGATCTTTTCCCTTGCCTTTTTCACCTTCTCTCTCTGCTTCTCCAGTTTTTCATTTCCTTCAAACTCAGTATCTCCTTTCTCCTCCTGATTCCTTCAAGGGCCACTGGTAATTGAACACACCAGTTGTTAAGTATATATTAGATAGATAGAGGGGACATATACCCTCAAGAAGCTCACCCTCAAAGAACTCACAGGTCTAGGAGAGGGAAAGAGAGAGAGAAAGAGAGAGAGAGAGAGAGAGAGAGAGAGAGAGAGAGAGCGATCATTAATCCTTTAACACTCAGCTTCTCTGGGAAACCTTCCCCAGCCCAAATAGAATTTGTCCCCTCTTCTCAGTGCCACCATTACAGTATAGTTCTGATGCAATGACTAGTCTTGTGTGTCTTCCACCGCTAGACTGTGGGCTCTTCCATGGACAGGTGTGTCCCTATCACTTAGCCCAGGACTAGGCACAAATGTGATACTTAATGCCTGTTAAACGAATGAATGGAAGAATCCTAGTACACAATTATTCATTCATCCATTCGTTCTTTCATTCGTTGATCCAAACTTTACTAAGCATACATTATGTACAATCTCCTAGACTGTAAGATAACTAAAATAACTCTTACGCAAAAATAACTCAAATGGAAAAGATGCAATACAAATATAAATGATGAATCAATCATGAATAAACTACTAATTGATTAATTTAAAAAACATGAAAGTTATAATACTAGTAGATTAGCACTCTTCCCCGGTAGGCATCCCCAACCCCCAAAAAACCAAATTAGTCTTTTCCCACCGTGAAAGCCCAACCCTCCCTTGCCGAAGTCCACGCCCCTCCAACTCAAGCTACCTTCTCAGCCCTTTAGTCCTACCCTAGGGCCCCCAGCCAATAATCTCAAATTTTACACCACCAGCCCTCTGGCTTCTCTTCTGTCCTCCACCTCCACGCCTGAGATTATTGCAGGTGTTCCACCCCCAAGACCACCTTCCAGTACCCGACTTTGGTATACCTCAGATTTTCCTCTACGCGCATCCGCCCACCAGTTAGCTCCTTCCCTCTCTGGACCCCGTCTCTCCTATGAAATGAATTACTCCCAATGAATTTCCTCCGTTCTCCTTCTTCCAGTTTCAGGCTGAGTCTCTCCTTGACTCTCAGCTCTTACCTCATCCAGCTCGTGTTTCCCGGGAATACCTTCTCCAACCTGCACCTCCACCACTACCGCCATGTTCCTTAGTTCTCCCCCTCCCCCATGCGCCCGCGAGCCAGCTGCTTCCGCCGCTCAAGGGCTCCTAGCCAATCGAAGGCGTAGGCTCCCGCATAGGGGGCGGGGCATCAAGACAAGCTGAGACCTGACAGGGACTGAGACCATCTACCTGCTACTCATTTAAAGGTCAAGGAGGACAATTCCCCTGTACTTCCAAGCTTCGGCGGGGGACATTCTTGGAAAATGAGAAATTGGGCTTGTATTATTTTAGGGGCAAATATTTCAACAATTCTCGTCTATGGAGAACCAAAAAGAAGGACCCATAAACCGTCAGCTTTCGCGATGCTCCCTCACTGTAGACTTCGAAGAGCGAAGCGTGGAGGCCAAGAACTACATTTCCCAGAATGCATCGAATCTGACCCGGAAGTCTCAGTTCTTCTCTCTAGAGGGGAGATTTGTGTTGACTGAGAATATACAGCTAACACGTGGTTGGGTTTTACTGGTCACAGCACACGTCATTTTGCCTCAGTGGGAGTCATTTTTTAAGAAACAGAGACTTCTTGAGGCCCCAGGACGAATTTCTGGGCTTCGGGAAGCGGAAGAGTCGCGCTCCGGTCAGAAGGCGGAGTTCAGAGGGTCGAATTGGCGGGAGAATGGGTTTGTGGTCCACCATCTGAGGCCGCGGTGCCTGTTCGAGGTTCATTGTCCCCGGCGACGGGCTTTGGGGATTGTTGGTGGCAGGGTACTGGCCGAAAAAGAGAAGGAGTGGCTAAAACAGCGGGTTCCGAAGAGCTGTGAAAGTGTCCGCGCGGCCTAGGCTCCAGATGTTGAAGAGCCTTGCGGGACCTCCAAGGCACCCAAACTATTTCTTCGGTGCTCACGTCTCCGGAGCCAGGTCACACATCTCGGTACTCTTCCTACCCCACATCTTAAGTCTCCAACTCGTACCTTTACCCCCTTCTTATATACCTTATTCACTGTGCTGCACCCCAACTTATAGGTTAGTATTGTAATTCATTTCTTAACCCTGTTATTTGTGCATCCGGACCCGACGCCTCGAAACTCCCTGCTCACGCCCCCTAGGCGTTCCTCCTGGGTCTATCCGGTGAACAGGGCTGGGATGACCTGTGGGCTCACCAGGTCTAGAATGCCAGACAACTATTTGAGGGCCTTTAGGAAGTTACAGGGTAATATTTACACCATCTACATCCGTCTCATTTACTTAAAATGGGTATTGTTTTTATTATGTGAAACTTAATATAGAGTATTATAAACATTACCCTAAATTGACTATTGACACCGTGATCTATTTGCTTCCTCATTTTAAAAAAGATAAAATAAAACAGATAAAAGTTGAATTTATCTGTCTTCTATTCTCAGATCCATTACTCTTCTATCCCCTCCAGAAGCAACTAGTATAATTAGCTGTGTTTTCTCAGTCCATTCAAAAAAGTGTGTATATACAATATAAGGATTGTATTAATTTTGTTTGTGTAAATGAAAATAAGTGCTATTTTCTGTGTATTATCTATAACTAAATCTTTCACGTTGCTATTTTTTGAGATCTGTCCGTATTTATGTATATTTACATCTAAGTATTCCTTTTAACTTAAATAGTATTCAATTGTATGATATATAGCATTTCATTCATCCATTCCTCAACTAATGGACACTAGAATTTTATGTTTTTTGCTATCAGAAACGTTGCATGTGTCTGTGCACACGTGAGTTTCTACAGCTACACTGTAAATACAGGGCACTACTGAAAATACAGCTAGTCAGAATAAAGAGTGCTGGAAGTGTTTATGAGGAGGCCCATTTCCCCATATTATTGCCAGTCTTTCATATTATAAACTTTTAATTTTTTTCCAGTCTTAAAAGATGAGGTATTTGCAATTTCCTTATCACTAGAGAGGCCGAAGACTTTTTAAATATGGGTTTTTATCATTCAGATTTTATTGTAAGTGAATTGTATGTTTATATCTTCTCCAGTATTTTATTGAACTGTTTCCCCTTTTTGATTGATTTGTAGTACTTAAAAATAGGAATTCTGAATACTTTCAAAGTTTATATGTGCCCTGGGTGGTGTTGCTCAGTGGATTGAGTGCCGGCCTGCAAACCAAAGGGTCACTGGTTCAATTCTGAGTATGGACACATGCCTGGGTTGCAGGCCAGGTCCCCAGTAGGGGGCATGCATGAGACAACCACACATTGATTTCTCTCCCTCTCTTTCTCCCTCCCTTCCCCTCTGTCTAAAAAAAATTTTTTAAGTTTATATGTTTTGCAAATACCTTCTTTTGGTCAGTCATTTGTATTTCAACCTTCTTTGTGTTACTTAAAGTAGTTTTTGGGATTCCGTTTTTGATCCATTTGAGTATAATTCTTAAAATACGTTACGAGGTATAGTTTACTTCTGTTGTTCTTCACATTGTGAGCCAGTTTTCTGAATACCATTTATTACTTCATCTTTTTTTCTGACAGAATCATGTTTCTGTTCTCTTAAAACCAACTAAGCAGGTTGCAAATTCCCATTTATGTGAGTCTGTTCCTGGTATCTACATTCTTGTTGCTATAGATAGTACGTTCTAATGACTGTGACTTTGCAATTCAAAGGAGTTGAAATCTACTGGAGTTGGTTTTTTTTTTTTTGAGATGTTATTTATTCATATTTGGAGAGAGTAAAGGGGAGAGAGACAGGAAGGAGGGAAACATCGGTTGCCCCTCACACCCCCCCAACCAGGGATTGAACAAGCATACTTTCTACTTGTGGGATGACACCCAACCCATTGAGGCACACCAGTCAGGGCCACTTCTCTTTTCTTATAGTTTTAATTATATTTTATTGATTATGCTATTGTCCCAATTTTTCCCCCTTTGTTCCCTTCAGCGGGCACCCCCCCACACACACACACACACACACTCCCTCAGGCAATCCCCACACATTTGTTCATGTCCATGGGTCATGTGTGTATGTTCTTTGTCTACTCCATTTCCTATACTATACTTTACATCCCCATAACTATTCTGTAGTAGGTGTTTGTACTTTGTAATCTCCTCACCTCTTCACCAATTCCTTAGTACCCCCCTTCTATCTGTCAACCATCAAAACTTTGTATCCATGATTCTGTCTGTTATTGTTTGCTTAGTTTGTTTTTAGATTCAATTATTGATAGAAATGTATTTATTGCCATTTTATTGTTCATAGTTTTGATCATCTTTTTCTTAAATAAGTCCCTTTAACATTTCATATAATAATGGTTTGGCGATGATGAACTCCTTTAGTTTTTTCTTGTCTGGGAACCTCTTTATCTGCCCTTCGATTCTAGGTTATAGCTTTGCTGGATAGAACAATCTTGGCAGTAGGTCCCCGCTTTTCATGACTTTGAATATTTCTTGCCAATCTCTTCTAGCCAGCAAAGTTTCTTTTGAGAAATCAGCTGACAGTCTTATGGGAGGTCCCTTGGAGATAACTAACTGCTTTTCTCTTGCTGCTTTTAAGATTCTCTCTTTATCTTTAACCTTTGGCATTTTCATTATGATGTGTCTTGGAGTGGGCCTCTTTGCATCCATCTTATTTGAGACTCTCTGTGCTTCCTGGGCTTGCATGTCTATTTCTTTCACCAAATCAGGGAAATTTTTTTCCATTATTTTTTCAAATCGATTTCCAATTCCTTGCTCTTCTGCTGGCACCCCTATAATGCAAATGTTGGAACTCTTGAAGTTGTCCCTCCAACAGCTTATACTATCCTTGTTTTTCGTTGTTCTGATTTGTTCTTTTTTGCTCCCTTACGTTCCAAATCACCAATTTGATTCTTGGCTTCATCCATTCTACTATTGTTTTCCTATATGTTGTTCTTTATTTCAATTAGTGCATCCTTTGTTTCTGACTGGGTCTGTTTTATGCTGCTGAGGTCCTCACTAAGTTTCTTGAGCATCCTTTTAACCAATGCTTTGAACTGTGTGTCCGATAGATTGCTTATCTCCATTTTGTTTAGTTCTTTTTCTGGAGTTTTGATCTGTTCTTTCATTTGGGCCATGTTTCTTTGTCTCCTCATTTTGGCAGCCTCCTTGTGTTTTTTCTATGTATTAGGTAGAGCTGCTATGACTCCCTGTCCTGGTAGCATGGCCTAATGTAGTAGGTGTCCTGTAGGATCCTGTGGCACAGCCTCCCATATCACCCAAGCTGGGTACTCAAAGTGTGCCCTTTGTGTGGGCTGAGTACACCTTCCTCTTGTAGTTGATCCTTCATGCTGTTGGCAGATCAATGGGCAAGATTTACCCAGGCCAGTCAGCTGCAAGGACTGGCTGTGACCACTGACCACCAACCTCTACCTTCCGTGGAGGATCAAGCTGTGCAGGGGCAGGGTGGTGGTGTTCCAGCATGGTTTGTGGCTGTCCACTGAGTGTGCCAGCTCTGGGGTTTTCTGGGTGGTACAAGCCAAGGTCAGCCCCTACCTGTGTTTTTCCCCAGTGCTCTCCCCTCCCCCACCTAAGCTATAAAGCAATGTGAGATGGCTGCTACTTGTGCTGGGCTTGGAGATTCCCAGGCAAAGCCAAGCTGTGAATCTAGGTTGGCTGCTGCTAGTGCTGGTCCTGGGGCTACTTAGCAAGAGGTAAGGGGGCTGAGGGTTCACTGAGGCCAGCTGTGGCTTATTTGAGAGGATTTAGGAAGTTGTGAAGCATGAGCCAAGACCAGCCATTCATATAGAGAAGTCATTGTTCAACTTGAGTAGGCCTGGAAGTTGGGTGGGATGCAGTCTCAGGAGATCTCCAAGGTAGGGCAAACAGTGTTAGCCAGGTTGATAAGGTCTCAGATATGATACCTTCATGCCTATTTTGTGGCTCTTTGTGGGGAGGGTTCAGAAAAGGGACAGTGGCTTCTGCCCTCCTTTTTATCTGGGAAAAAGCTATCCCCCAGCTCTTGCCTTAATGCCAGACACTTCAGTTCCTCCCTATACACCACTGGTGCCTTCCAAGCTGCTAGCCTGGTACTGGAGCTCAGAGGAAGTAAGTCTGAGTAAGTCCGTGTGTATAGTCTTTAAGAGGAACTG